TGAAAAATGGAAAAAGTCACTAAAAATGGAGGAAAAGTTAAGGCTATAGCCTTACTATTTTGCTGTTTTTTTATCACTTATGAAAAATGGAAAAAGTCGCGAAAAATGGAGGAAAAGTTAAGGCTATAGCCCTACTTTTTTGCTGTTTTTTGGCCACCTATGAAAAATGGAAAAATTCGCTAAAAATGGACGAAAAGTTAAGGCAATAGCCTTACTTTTTTGCTGTTTTTTTGGCCACTTATGAAAAATGGAAAAAGTCGCTAAAAATAGACGAAAAGTTAAGGCTATAGCCCTACTTTTTTGCTGTTTTTTGGCCCATTTATGAAAAATGGAAAAAGTCGCTAAAAATGAACGAAAAGTTAAGGCAATAGCCTCACTTTTTTGCTGTTTTTTGGCCACTTATGAAAAATGGAAAAAGTCGCGAAAAATGGACGAAAAGTTAAGGCTATAGCCTTACTTTTTTGCTGTTTTTTGGCCACCTATGAAAAATGGAAAAAGTCGCGAAAAATGGACGAAAAGTTAAGGCTATATTCTTACTTTTTTCCATTTTTTTCCCATTTATGAAAAATGGAAAAAGTCGCTAAAAATGGACGAAAAGTTAAGGCTATAGCCCTACTTTTTTGCTGTTTTTTAGTCACTTATGAAAAATGGAAAAAGTCGCTAAAAATGGACGAAAAGTTAAGGCTATAGCCTTACTTTTTTGCTGTTTTTAGCCCACTTATGAAAAATGGAAAAAGTCGCTAAAAATGGACAAAAAGTTAAGGCTATAGCCTTTACTTTTTTGCTGTTGTTTTTTTTGCCTCTTTTTCGAAAATAAAAAAGTGACTAAAATTGGGCGAAAACTATAGCCCTCAACTTTTCGTCCAATTTTAGCCACTTTTTTATTACCTTATTTTTTGCCCTTTTTTAAAAAATGAAAAAAGTGGCTCAAAATGGGCGAAACAGTAAGGCTAATAAAAAATGTAATAAGTGGCTAAAAACGGCCTTATTTTTTGCCACTTTTTCAAAAATGAAAAGTGGCGAAAATTGGATATAGTTTGTTCATGCATATGCGGCATATGCTAGGGTTTGCACAATGAGGTGAGATACCGTTGCAGTATAAATTTGTATATTCATAGCAATGGTGTTTCAACATAATAAGCGCCAAAAATCACAACAGCAAATCACAACAGTATGTGGCATATCACGGTCAAGGTTACGTCAACGTTTTTGTAACCATGCAAGCATCGGAAAATTTGTGTGAAAATGTAATACGTTTTTTAGCCTACCCAGAGACTTCACCGCACACATGCAAACTAGAGTCATGGGTACAACTTCAATACCGAAATACAGGTAATGCCTGATAGCAGGCTAAGCATTACCTGATAACAGGCTAACTACTGCCTGATAGCAGGGTAACTATTGCCTAATAGCAGGCTAACTACTGCCCAATAGCAGGCTAACAATGAAAATCTGTACCTTAAGGTAGACCTCACTTTAACCAGTGCAGCTCCATTATCGAGGTACATCGATGTCTGTGGGTAACCGTTGATATAGAGGTACATATGTCCGGACATGTTCTGATGACTGTCCTTGCCTGCTTGACTCTTGCCCTTTTGTTAATAAGTCCATATCCTAAAATGAAACAAAACTTTTCAGTTAAAAGTAAAACAGGAAAAGTTTCATCAAATACAAAGGAGCTAGGGGGACAACAGCAACCCAAGGCTTAGCAAATGGGGACCACAGGAAATTTTTCAAAAATTCAAAAACATTCAAAAACCGCCACAAAGTTAGTCGAAACTTTCTGAAAATTGTCGAAAACATTTCCTTTCATCAAAACAATTACTTTCGATCGATAAAAACATGTTTTAAAAAACTGCGGTCAAATGCAAAGAGGGGACCACAGGGTACCGTAGGCTTAGCAAAGGGGCCTCAAAACAAAGTTACTCCAAACTCAAAGTTACTCCAAACTTTCTGAAAATTGTCAAAACAATTAATTTCAATCGGTTTTAAAAAATTATGGTCTAATGCACAGGGGGGACCACAGGGCGACCAGGGTTTATTTTAACGCGCAGTTCTACACAAAATGCGCAGTTCTAAACCCAAATGTGCAGTTCTTAAAACTCAAATGTGCAGTCAGCAACTTAAGAAAAATATAACCTCAAAACAGTTTTCTCATTTACTCGTTTTCCTTGTGGATGCTCCAGATAGCAGAAATGCTGTCATTGAGCATCAAAAATCTAAATGTTTTCTCGGAGAGGACCACCAGACCCGCATATTTTCCTCACAAATCACATACGTGCTGGGGTAATGGAACAAGAGGTAAAATTGGGGCGAGCGAAGCTATTCAAAAGAGATCAGAGTGGTGGAACCTGATATTCTTTGCTGCCTAAGGTTATTATATATCAGAGTATTCATGATTCCCAGTTACATGTTTTGAAACCCAGTGTAAACCATGTTTTGATTCCCAGTTGCATGTTTTGTGGGTGGTTGGGTGAAACAAATCTTTGCCAGAACTTACGAGCCTCTAGATTCAAAATTTGGAGGAAACCCCCTACCTGTAACTCCCCCACCCAGAATCGAGTTTGTCAGGCCCCACCCAACTGCACCTTTATTCTTCCACCTATATACAAATTAAGTCTATCATAATTTACAACGTTAAATATAAATTTACAACGTTAAATATAGATAAAAATCCTTTGACCCCCAGTCAAACACCCTTTGACCCCTCAGTCAAATACGCGATGCTTTGTAACATCCCTAATATGTGCAGTTCTAAATTTTACTTAAAATAAACCCTGCCACAGGCAAACCTAGGGGTAACAAAGGGGGACCACTAACGTTACCGTTGGGAAAAGGTATTATACATCGTATTAGTTTGAACTTTTTAAATATAAATATATATACTGTAGTTGAAACCAACAGATTAATTTGAACATGTTACATGGTGGAGCATTTTTTATACTTCTCCAGTGTAAAATATTATCAAATCTAGTTTGAAAAACATGTAAACTCAAAACTCACAAGTGAATGTCAGAATGAAAATGGTCAAATGATAGATAAAGCCACAGAGCCAAAAAGCTGGTTACAAGTAGAAGTTCAATGACATTTGACAGCTTGGTAATTCGGATTGTGTTTTGACTGATCTACAGCGCAATGCGTAATGACAAGTGTCTATTTTTGCACGACCATCAAGCCAAGCCTGAAGTGACATATCGATCCTGTACGTATACGGCCAACCTATCGTCTGACGTGATTGTATCCATCCGTCAACTAGGCATTGCGATTGTGCATGGTATTAATTTGAACTTTTTAAATATATAAATACAGTTGAAACCAACAGATTAATTTGAACATGTTATATGGTGGAGCATTTTTTATACGTGTAAAATATTATCAAATCTAGTTTGAAAAACATGTAAACTCAAAAATCACAGTGAATATCAAAATGAAAATGGTAGATAAAGCCAGTCAGAGGCAAAAAGCTGCATGGTCACAAGTATAGAAGAAGTTCAATGACATTTCAGCTTGGTAATTTGGGTCGTGTTTCGACTGATCTACTAAGCGCAATGCACAGTGACAAGTGCCTGTTTTTGCACGACCATCAAGTAAACCAAGCTGAAGTGAGATCATGAATCATATATACATATGGCGAACATGTCGTCTGACGTGACTTTATCCATCAGTCAAGGGATTGCCATTATGCATGCATGATGGTATTAATTTGAACTTGTTAAATATAACTAGTTGAAACAAACAGATTAATTTGAAAATGTTATATGGTGGAGCATTTTTTATACTTCTCCAGTGTAAAATATTACCAAATCTACTGTAGTTTCAAAAACATGCAAACTCAAAAATCACAAGCGAATATATCAGAATGAAAATGCATGGTCAAATGATAGATAAAGCCAAATGAGGCAAAAAGCGCCTGGTCACAAGTAGAAGTTCAATGACATTTCAGCTTGGTAATTCGGGTCGTGTTTCGACTGATCTACAGTGCAATGAGGGTCGGAAAGGGGGGGGGTATGGATCACGTTTCACAACGAAAAAAAAGCCGTTTCACGATTCACGTTTCTTAAAAAGCAATTTCACAGAAAACTAGATTCTCATAAAATAATATAATAATATGTTTATTAAGACTATGTTTAATGCATGGTACAGTATCTACGCTTTAAGTTCTCTCATTTCTCCATGAACTGTCAGTTATTAACTACATCATAGCTTACAAGTTTGAGTGACGAGAATGTACGACGACCTCCGCGCGTGTCCTCAGCACCAGGGATCTTGTCCTCAGCACCAGGGATCTTGTCCTCAGCGTTAGGAACCTTGTCCTCAGCGCCAGGAACCTTGTCCTCAGCGCCAGGAACCTTGTCCTCACCGCCAGGAACCTTGTCCTCACCGCCAGGAACCTTGTCCTCACCGCCAGGAACCTTGTCCTCACCGCCAGGAACCTTGTCCTCACCGCCAGGAACCTTGTCCTCACCGCCAGGAACCTTGTCCTCACCGCCAGGAACCTTGTCCTCACCGCCAGGAACCTTGTCCTCACCGCCAGGAACCTTGTCCTCACAGCCAGGAACCTTGTCCTCACCGCAAGGAACATTGTCCTCACCGCCAGGAACCTTGTCCTCACCGTCAGGAACCTTGTCCTCACCGTCAGGAACCTTGTCCTCACCGTCAGGAACCTTGTCCTCCGCCAGGAACCTTGTCCTCACCGCCAGGAACCTTGTCCTCACCGCCAGGAACCTTGTCCTCACCGCCAGGAACCTTGTCCTGACATAAGTGGCTAAAAATGGACGAAATGTTAAGGCTATAGCCTTACTTTTTTGCTATTTTTTGGCCACTTATGAAAACTGGCATAAGTGGCTAAAAATGGACGATATCGTATCGAAACCGCTACTGGTG